GCTGAGAAAGCACTGCTACTGAGAACCAGGCTGAGCAGAGTAAAATTGCTGAAGTGTGAAATCCTGTTGGAATTACTCAACAATCACTCTGGAGACTGGCCCCAGCAGCTGGGTGTGCATCCTCAGATACATATTTTACCAGCCTTTAAGCAGGAAACATTCCCTGGGCCCAGCAAGCAGCATTGTGTAAGCAGCCTGTTTTGTTGGATTCTGGGTTGTTGCTGTTACAGTCAATCCTCAGTGATTTGCTGAAGAGGATTGGGCACACTAGAAATCATTTAATTGCATCATCTCTACCAAAAGAATTCGATAGGTTACACCACCCATTGTTGTGAAAGATGATCAGTGAGCCTGGATTTCCCCTGCAGGCAATCACAAAGGATGCCTGACCTGTACCTCTGTGGAAAGCATGACAAAGTCAGTGGTGTGGCCCCTGTTTGTACCAGCAGAAGCAGTCTAAAGAGGAAAAAAGGTTTATTCTGGTGTCTTTGCTGATAACTCTCTCAGACATGTTCCAACTCTGCTGCTCCTCAATACTTCATGACTAGATGCTATTGCAGCATGTGAAAGCTTTGATGTTTCTGAAAATTAGCTCTGCTTTAGGACATATTTGCTCTAGGTAACATCCCAACTGGCAAGTATTAAATAATTGGCACATCTAGAAGTACAGGAAAACTGTAAGCTCTCAAAGTGGAGTGGAAAGTTAGGGCAGGAAGGGTTAACCAGCCTTTATTCTTGCCAGCAACTATACGTGCTCTGCTCCCCATGTGCCCCTGTGAAGTTTGAAATGCAGCAGATGTTTGATCCTGATCTATCAGCCTCCATACAAATGACGGTTGAATTAGTGAAGAAGGAGGCAGAGTAATGTTTGCCAGAGAAGAGCAAAATTTCTGACACCTGGGCAACTTAATGGTGGCAGATGGCAAAAGCTGAAGGCAAAGAGAGGGAGAGATGTGCACCAGCAGCTGGTGCACAAATGGGGAGCAGAGAGGCCTGCACTGAAACTGCACAGGAAGAATTTAATACCAGCAGTTCTGTAAGAATGATAGTGTGAATATACAAAGAGGAGCCTGTGTTTTAATTCAGACAACTATCGTTGAAAGTACCCGATGGATTGTCAGCCAAGGAGATTTTCACAGCAAGAAGCCATCTATTTGCATCAAACACTGTCAGTCTGCAAAACAGCAGCTTCTGGGTCATTTAACCACACTCCAGATGTAGTTATTTTCTCTTAGGCAAGTGGTTCAAAAAGAGCTGTGCAAGAAAAAGGCAGAGCTGGATATAAAGGGGGACAATCAAGCAGCATGTGGAAGTGATTAGCCAGTGACTGTGATGTAACTCAGTTAAATGAACACTTGGGTGTCCTGTGGTTCTCAGCATGAGACTGCAAGACTCTGGTCAAACACGGGGCTGCATTCACACAGGTGCTGCCTGTTCTGCCACAGGGAAAAGAAGGGAAGACAGGTAGAGCTGTAAATCTGGGGAGTGACATCAACAAGGTTTCTTGATATTTTTTTCATTTAAATGATGGAGGTGAGATTAATGATTGTTCCCAAGATAATTGTTAGGAATTTATCTTCCTCCACACTGGACTCATCCTTTTTTGGGAATAGCTGCCCTCTGCAAAAAACTCAGGTCTGAGTTCAGGCTCACAACACCCAAGAGTATCTAGATGTGCATGACAGAATTCAGCCCTTTCTGGAGGATCCTTTTTCCTGCTAGACTAATTTCAGTGACACTGTGATTACACATCCTGAACACAGCCTGTTACCTGTCGTGCACACCACACCTGCACCCCTGCCAGGCTAATGCTGCACTGAACACTGACACTCTGCAGAGGCACCCAGCGTGGAAGAGCCATCAGCAGATCATTCCTGCAATTCCTTTAATACACAACTCACACCAAGTATCTATGGATTAGTGAGGCTGCCTGCTGCTGTTTCAAAAAGACTCAGCAAGTGGGTAGAAGGAATGCTGTCTGATAGGTATGCAACTTCAAAATATACTCATACTGTTCCTAGAGAATTTGTGACCACAGGAGGAGAAAAGGTTGTTGTTTGTGCAACCTGAAGCTTTAATGGTATCACGTCCATTCTTTTGCAAGTAGAAATGTGTATTTGTAACTGATAGTTACACTTTCTAGTTACATATCTATAAAATTCCTGTTATAATGAGGGTGACTCATAATGAAATGATGCATTAGTTGCTCTGTTCATTATAATATTTGCATAATTTCAGCATGCAAACTGCAAACTTCCTAAATTCCTCCTGTCCTTCATCCTCCTTGGCCATTTCCTAAGTACTGGTCAGAAACTGACAAAGGCATTCTAAACTCTTGCACTCTTTTGCACTGCTGTACAGCTGAGCAGCAATTTCCTCTCCTACAGAATAGGATTTTCCTGATGGAAGGCAGATTGAAAGCACATGTGGGCCCTCTGCTTCCCTGGACAGTCCCACTTTACAACATTCATACAGGGCAGGAAGACAGGGAACTGGCATGCCTGATCAGATCCCCACTCCACTGCTCCCTGTATCTTCTCTCCAGCAAGGAGCAGATTGGAGTGCCAGAAAAACACAACAGCAGAAGAGCCATGGTAAGGATAGGGAGTACAGCAGTCCCATCACTGGTGGCAGCTGCTGTTGCTGCTCAGTGATTAGAAAAAGCCTGAGGAAAGGGGGAGCATCATGGAATCTCTCCCTAAGACTGTCCATGTTAACAGATCAGCCCCAGAAGATCTTTCTGGTCATTCCCTGCCTATGCTGCACATCTTGAACAGTTTATTCTCCCCTTCAATTACCACCCAAGGTAAGAACCTCTCCTCTCCATCCAGTCACACAACTCTCACAGGCAGCTGTCACCCCATGACCCCCAAGTCTGAGTGACTTTAACTTAGTGGGAAGGACTGAGGCCTCTGGGATTACCCTGGCAGAGAGGTCCATGAAGGAGGGGGAACTGGAAGAGCTTTTTATGAATCTTCTCATACTCAGCATACACAGCTGGGGAACTGTGAACATGGGTGGCAACCACCACCTGCTTTAACCTGGCACTGAACATTCTTGTGTCCAGTTCAGCACTGAAATCCTTCACAAGATCATCAGCAAAATCAGGACTCCTAGACCTGGGTATGTCCAACCAGAATCTTATGTCTCTTGAACTGCTGTGTCATCCCACTTATAAATCAAAGCACAGTGAGACCCTTACTGAAACAGAAATATTCTTGCAACAATGAGAACTTTTCATTTCTTTTTCTGCCTTAAGGTGAATGAAGGGCACATGAAAGATGCAAGATAGGTGACACAAAAAAAAAATTCTTTAAATTATTCAGAAAGCAAGTATTATTCAGTCAGCCCTGCTATCCATCAGCATGTAGTTGCCCTCCTTGAGATTCCTGCCTACAAAATTCAAAGCTGGAGCACTCCCCTCCAACCCACTGACTGTGTAAGAAGCAGTGGGTAAAGAGGGAAAGGGAGGATGTCCAAGAGCAGCAGCAAGTGCAGGCATGGGGAAGCACAGAGAGCAAAGGCAGCTTTGGTGGGAGCAGCACTGATTCAGAAGCAAACATCATGCTTGTGGTCCCTCCAGATGTACCCACCTATGGCTGGCTTGCTCCAGCAGCAAGCTTGCTGTCACTCATTATTTCAGTGAAGGCCAGTGCAGGAGGAGGAGAGACCCGTGGCCCATGCTATGCACAAACACTGATTTGCTGTTTGGTAAAGCAAATCTTCCATTAGTGCTATCCTAACCCTTTTCTTCCCAGGGTCTGAGGCAGCCATAGCTGGGGTTTCACTGTGATCTGCTTTCCTCCTTAATCTCTTCCAACACCATTCATTTCTGAGATAGCTCATTCCCATTTTTCATTTAGAGCAAAGGGCTGTGAACCAGTGATATTAAAAAACCAGGCAGGAGTGGAACAAGCAGCAAAAGAACCAACTCCTCACTTGCTCAGCCCCAGCCTGCCTTGGCTCCAGGGTGCCTCTCCAGCCAAGTCCATGTGTGCCATTGCTGCTGGCAGAGACACCTCTGTGCTGGTGGCTCTTATTTTGTCCACTGGGGATCAGCAACACCTGTGGCAGCAGATGTTAACAAGCCTTTCTGCATCTTGACCTGGGCTGGTCATTAACTGACCACCAAAAAGAAAGAGGTTTCAAGATCTCCTCAGGGCACAAATATCTCTGAGCTGTGGTTTGGTGATTAGCACAGCTTTACTGAAAACAGCAGTGTCCTGTAGCATCTCTCACCAGCTCTCTTCAAATGCTGTGTTTTGGTCTCATTTGTTCTGCCCACCATCATCCCAGGTGCTGCTTACTTAGAGGTTCAGATTGTGAGTCCCCGCCATCTACAAACAGTATTTTGCCATTTGAGAAGCGCAGTTTACATCTGTGTCTCTGTGCGCACAAAGCACAGCACGGTCCCTTCATCCCCCTCTTTCTCTTAATGCCACAGCTGCCTCGCAGAGTTTTAAGAACTTTCAGCTTCCAATCACTACTTCCACTAAGTCCTGCGCCAGCCTCAGCTTGCGGCGGGGGCGGATGCTGCCGGCTCCGCTCGCTGCTCGCATCAGCCGGGAGAGCCACGGCACCTTCCATTCCCGGGAGGGATTTTCTCTTTACTTTCAAAACAATGTGTGAAAGCCTGCTCTGAAGAAACAGTAGCCTCAGTAAGTTTAAGGATGACTGAAGCTGTTTCCTCTCCCAGGGAGGTTTCAGAACTACGGAGGGATGAATGGAGTTAGACCTATCGCTGCGTTCCTAGCAGCCATCCTATTACAGCCCTGAATAAAGGCAGGAATGGCATGTCTAGCCTAGGTTAATAAACCCTACGGAGTGCATGCCTAAAAGCACTACGAAACAGCCTTAAGTCAGCTGGAGAAAACTAATTTCAAGCATGGCTGTCTAGTGTGCCTGTCATTCCTATTATCCTTCCAAACTATCTCAGACATTTTGAGCAGCGAGTGCTAAGCGATGAGTTAGCAGGGGTTGTGACATTAATGGTCCAAAAAGGTTTCGGCACCGGGAGGGAACGATGACAGCGCTTCACAACCGGTGGCAGTTCGGAGGATTCCGCTGGATCTCTGTCTGTCAATAATTAGGCTTCGCCTCGGAGGAAGATGTGACAGCTCTCGGAGGTAGGATTTGCGTGGCAGACAAAGGGAGCTGCTGCTGCTCGGTGCCCGGCTCGGCCAGGTGCGGCGGCAGCGCTGGGGAGGGGTCGCCGCCGTGGGGGGAGAGCCGGGCGTGGAAATGCCGTGGATAGTCCTGTGTTTTATGGCCGAAATGCCTCCAGGACAAAGTGGCTCAAGCCTCGCTGCCTGCTGAGTGTGCGTTCCACGTTGTTCTTCCCGCGGAGTAAAATACACAGAGGTCATGCAAGAAAACACTTTATTCCTTTTCTACCCAGCCAGCTCGGCTGTTTCTGAGGTGGGAGAAGGGAGAGGGGGAAGCTGCCCTAAAACGAAAGGGGAAGAGGAAAGCTATGGAGCCTGTAAGATGAGAGAAACACGCTATTAATGTGTAAAATGTGTGTGGAGTGCCACCGATGTCATTTGAAAGGGGGAAAACATTCGCGGGGGAAGGTGGTGGGAGGAATTTTCCGGGTGAGGGACTCCTTAGGTTATAACCTATTGCAAAAGAAGGCGTGATGTGTCCATCCATTTTGCATAATCAAAGCTTTCTCTGCACTGTTGGCATTGTTTTGCTGGACGAGAAATGTAGTTTCAGAGAGAAAAAGGCACGATTTCCTCCCGTGACACTGCCAGCCCCCTGACACCCTCCTCCCCCTGAGAAACCAGTGGGGAAGGATGTACACAGCGTTTAGCTGGATGCTGAAAGGGCTGAGAGCGAGGGCTGAGGGGGAGAATGAACACTCAGTAGGATAACAGGAAAGCTTCTCCTGGAAAAAAGCTTGTTTCTTCCCAGCCAGAAGTCCAAGAGGTGATAGACAAAGTTAAAAGCTTCATGTACTTTTTTTATCATGTGCCAGTTTGTCATCACTAGGCAAGGAAATGTCCAAACATCAGAGTCGGGTCTGTGTGGTCAGACAGGGCAGTGGGGTCTGCACGGGGTCCTGGGCAGGGCTGGCTGTGAGTTCGTGGTTTTGTGTGTGTGACCCTCACCAGGGTGAACAGCAGGGACATAATGAATGAAAATCATTTTTCCATGCATATGCAGAGCCCTTATCATTCGGTGTGTTTGATCTGAGTGTGATGTTCCCTGGGTTGATGAATTGTTTCAACTTGTTCATTAAAGTTTCATTTCCAAACAACAGAGGGACTTCAGAGTGAGTGGTATTTAGTAACAATAAAATGTTCTGCTTCTGGAAATGCTTCTCACAGGACCCATTAAAAATGCACGTAAAGAAGCTGAGAGTCATATCTTGCAGCAAGAGGTATGGAGTCACTTGCTGTGCTAAATTTTCAAATTAAGGTTATGATACCATTTTAAATCTACTTTAATGTGGATGTCACTCAGGATACTTTACAATACTGTTGCCAAAAACTCACAGCTTCAAGAATTCTGTTAGACTGATTGTTTTCATTAAATCTTCATCAGAAAAAGAATTCCGATATAGCAGGGACTTACCAAGTAATTTGAATTTACTCATCCTAACTAATGTTCTCTTTAAGGAGAAGATCAGTGTGTTATATTACATTGTAAATAGGTCGGGATATAATTCTTTTTAAAACAAAACCAATGACAATTTAACAACAAAAGTGCTTTCAGTCTAAGTGAATACTGATTGTGCCAAAAAGAAGCAATACTGGATCAGAAATTGGTAAGAATTCCTTTTAAGAAACATAAATATTCCCCATTTGATCCAAGCAAGAACTTTTCAGTTAACTGCATTACTTTGCATTGCAAATTTGGGGGGAAATAATTTCAACCCATGTTATGTACTCTACTGAGTACATAAAGATAACAGTGAAAACTTTCTTCCAAAGAAATTTTTGTAGCAGTTTGCAGTATGGATCAAAGAGTTATTACCCAGAGATATGAAATCTGTGCCAGAAATGAGCAATGAGTGTGGAAATCAAGTATATGTTTTTTCCTCTCCATCTCACTTTTGTTCAGAAGCTTAGACAATTTTACTTTGTTTTTTACTGCAGTGCCTCTCTGAGAGAAGGGTCAGAAGGGGTAAATCCATGAGGTGGTGGGAGACTGTGTTCAACCTGTGCCCAGAATTCTCTGGGAGACTTGGGCAAATCCCTCAGCATCTCTGGGAAAAGAAGTGCAACAAGGCTAAGGTGGTAGTGATGTAGTGGAAATACAGACAGTGGTGCTCAGGGAATGAGGCTGAACACAGGGCTCCAGACAGGGCAAAATGCAAAGCCCCCTTGTGTAGCAGAAGGAGGTCAATGTTTCAGGCATTTTCAACTGTAAAATATGACACAAGGCAAATCCCGTGATCCAAAACTAAATCTGCTCTCAAAACTAGCCCAGACCAACTGGCTCCTTAGAAAAACTTCTGCCAGGACCAAATAGCCATTCATCTGAGAGCCTGCCAGAAGTGACTCCAAGTCTGCCATCATTCCATCGGTGGGCAGCAGATAGTGAAGCAAACCACATCAGATTGATTCACCGTGCTGAGGAAGGATTTCCCTGCTTTCTTCAGAAGCTCAATGGGTACTTTTTGCCATGAATCTCACTTGCCCTTTCTGTTACAAATTGCCTGTGGAGGTGCAATTTTATAATTTATTTATTTGATACTGTTTAGGGCTTTCTTCAGCAAATAACTTCTTGGCTTACAGATCTTTTGGGAATGGCAAATGTTTGCAAATTCATACTGTGTTGCTTGGTTCAGTCCTGTGGTGTTCCTTGATTAGCTGACTTGTGCAGCTAACTGGCAGAAAACGAATTGCAAATTTCACAACCAAGTGTTCTGTTTCATACTGGATTTCCATCACACTCAGTCAGGTTTAAAATTCATGTCTTGCAAGTATTCATACCAGCAACACATAAGCACTGAAGTGCTCCCACCAGACAGATGTGAGAGCCAGGTTAAACAGCTTTCAATTTCATATGAATATTCATGAAAAGTGTTTGGATTCCTGCAGTTCTGTTAAAATGAATAGTTGGCATCATCCATCGTGCACTACAGGGCCATTCTCTCACAGCACTCGCCATGTCCCCATGGTCTCCCCAACTCTCCAGAGCAAGGCCACAGTGCCAGTGGAAAATGTGCAGCCAATTTAGAAGGAAAAAACACCGTCATGGAAATTTCTAAATTTTCCACATTATAACCTCTCCTGTTGTGCCTGTCTTGCACATTCTGTGACACGAAGGCAGCCAACAGGGAGGACAGCAAGAGAGCATCAACAGTGAGGCAGTGAGTGCAGGAGAAAACACTGAAAGAGGGGAAAATAAGGGAGACTGGCAGAAGGAGGGATCCGTGGTGGCACATGGAGCAGGTACAGAGGAGGTAGGAATGGGAACAGCAGGAACACCTAATCTACAAGTACAATTTTTAACAGTGAATCTAGTGAATTTGGGTCATTAACCTCAAGGTCTATGGTCTTACCAGACTCAGCCCATGGCAAGCCCTGGAGATGTTGCTCCCAATCCTTCCCTGTGCTCACCAAAATTGCTGCCAAGCAAGGGGGTGACAGAGTTTACTTTTTGTCATGTAGGGGACTGTTAACATGCCATGGAGATATGGAAGAGTTGTGAAAATGGCAGATGAGAAGAAAACTAACACCTGATATATGGTTTAAAAACAGTCAAAACCTGTTGGGTGAAGAATTTCTGTCAAACATATTTCCTCACAGACACAAAAAAAATTTCAGCTGTCAAAACACCAAGCTCTTTTACTCAGAAACAAATCAAGGGGAGAAGGTTATAAAACATGAATATATTTGCCTTTTGGGATATTTTTGCACTGTACTTATGTCATATAGGAGGAAACCTCATGTCTCCCACTGAGTGAGCTCTATTGTCCATGTACTTTATATAGAAAGTCTGGTGTAAGCTAAATCAACAGGGTTGCTAAGACTTCATAGAGGCAACCAGCAGTTACACCCCCATCAGATGGCCCCTTTTTATCTTTTCAATGATTTTAAAGTCCAATGATCCTAGATATCCTTTTTTATTCTAAAAATAGAAGTGGGCCTAAATTGCAAGTGCTGTGAGTCACACAGTAGAGTCACTACAGGCAACACATGTGTATTCATATTCTGTCAGGGCACACATAACACCAGACTGATACTGCCTAGGGAGAGTAAGGGAATGAGAAGAATTAGAGGAACTAAAATCTGAGCAAATACAGAGAACCTTTGCTAGGACAAAAACTGACTCAATGTAGTCTGGAATTAAATCCCAACTTGAAATTCCCGCTAGATTCTGTTAAAACTCCTATTACATCTTCAGATACTTTTTGTATCTTAATACTAAGCAATCCTGCTACCCATAAATAATTTTCATCTCTGCTTGTGCCAAATGGGATGCCCCAGCCATTCACAGGTTCTTTTGCCTGAATTCAGTGTTCTTCCCAGTCTGAGCCATTGCATTGTCCTGAATCAACCACTGCCAGAAGGGTTTTGGAGAACATTTGTCCTCTGCCCCACTTCCCTTCCAGAGGCTCAGAGTGAAGTTTCTGCTTCAGCCCAAAGTGATTCATGTCTCCAAGGCTGCCATGCTGGTGGGACCCCTCCATCTGGCATTGTCCCTTTGTGCCTGTTTAGGTGTGATACCAAAGGAGGGACAAGATAATTGCCTGCCTTAAAGCAGTTCTGCAGAAAACAGCCCATATACTTGGCTAGGTTTTATTAGTGGGCAAGCTATTTTCCACCTCAGCAGAGTGGTACTCCTCACTGACAGCCATTAGTTATTTGCAAATTTAGTTAGGCATTATAAATGTCAGGCTCCTGGGTGCATAAATAATGTTTCAGAGTAGTAACCTGAAATAAGTCAAACTAGGAAGGGTGAGAAGATCTGGAGTATGGTCCCTTTGGGACCTACTAGCACTTCTAATTAATATCTGGTACTTAAAGCATCACAGCCCATGGTTAAATCAAAGTCAGAGGGAATAAAGGAATATTAAATCCTCCTGGAGACCCGTGTCCAGCTGCTCCTCAGTGCAGCTGCCATACACTGACTCCCTGACCTCAGTCAGGAGTGTATTGGCTTTTTTGGG